GATAATGACTGACTGAGATCAAAAAAATCACATCACCTTAGAATTTTATACAAGGTAACTGATCACTCACCTGCAGTTAGGTAATCTCCCAAAAAGTTTACACTGCTGCCGAAATTATTCCAAAAATAAACTGTACATTTTGGTACCCTGTTGTAAATTATGGTGTATCGAGGGAAATTTTTACTAAAAGTTGCCATTTAAAAAATTTTCATAATCAGGAAAAAAAAATACGTATTTTTACTTTGGAAAATAAATGGTTGAATTCAACATCAACTGATATCAGTATTATAACCAGCTCCCTAGTTTTATTGATATCAGTTGATGCTGAATTCAACCTTTTATTTTCCAAAGTAGAAATGATACCTCATCATTTCCACTGATAACGATACCTCATCATTTCTACTGATATGATACTGATACCTCATCCCTATTCCCTTTTTTATAAAAAACATAACCACAGGCCTGAGAAACAGGACATCAAAGGTTAGTTACCATGGTAGTTAAGCAGAGTTTGGAATTTGAGGTAACTGTATGGCGCTAACCTTTTTAAACCTGGTTGGTCATTTGCAAAATTTTCATTTAACAAGTTAGGGTGTGAGGACAAAACATTGAGTTCAGTATCTGGCACATAAATGCACAGTAAGTAACAACCTTCAAAATATTGTCAAGTAATAGAAACATCAAACCTAAAACAATATTTTAAAATAGGAAAAGGGAAAAAAAAATCACAGTAATGGGTAACTACATGTTAGATGTTGTATTCCCTCAGTCTTTATTCCGAAGTTTAGAACAAGGACCTGGTTCCTTTATGTTAGGAGTTTTTATGGAAAAAAAATTTTTTTTTGAAATTCCGAATTATTACTTTTAGTTGTTCCCAAAAGCACTGGCAACAAAAGCCAAAATATACAAATGGGATCTAATTGAACTCCAGAGCTTCTGTACAGCAAAAGAAACAATCATTAGAGTGAACTGGCAACCAACAGAATGGGAAAAAATTTTTGTAATCTACCCATCTGACAAAGGGCTAACATCCAGAATTTACAAAGAACTTAAACAGATTTACAAGAAAAAAACAAACTCATTCAAAAGTGGGCAAAGGACATTAACACTTTTCAAAATAAGACATTTATGCAGCCAACAAACATATGAAAAAATGCTCATCACTGGTCATTAGAGAAATGCAAATCAAAATCACATTGAGGTACCATCTCACCCCAGTTAGAATGGCAATCATTAAAAAATCTGGAGACAACATGCTGGAGAGGATGTGGAGAAACAGGAACACTTTTACACTGTTGGTAGGAGTGTAAATTAGTTCAACCATTGTGAAAGACAATGTGGCGATTCCTCAAGGACATAGAAATAGAAATTCCATTTGACCCAGCAATCCCATTACTGGGTATATACCCAAAGGATTAGAAATCATTCTGTTACAAAGACACATGCACACGTTATGTTCACTGCAGCACTGTTTACAATAGCAAAGACCTGGAACCAAACCAAATGCCCACTGATGATAGACTGGACAAGGAAAACGTGGCACATATACACCATGGAATACTATGCAGCCATAAGAAACGATGAGTTCATGTCCTTTGTAGGGACATGGATGAATCTGGAAACCATCATTCTCAGCAAACTGACACAGAACAGAAGATCAAACACTGCATGTTCTCAGTCATAGGTGGGTGAACAGTGAGAACACATGAACACAGGGAGGGAAGCATCACACACTGGGGTCTGTTGCAGGGAAAGAGGGGAGGGACAGCAGGGGATAGGGAGGTTGGGGAGGGATAACATGGGGAGAAATGCCAGATACAGGTGATGGGGGGATGGAGGCAGCAAACCACATTGTCATATATGTACTTATGCAACAATCCTGCATGTTCTGCACAGGTACCCCAGAACCTAAAGTGCAATAAAAAATATATCTAAAAAAGAAAATCTATGAAGTGTCTCGTTTAGCAGCACTGGCTAGGACTGTTGCTAGTTCTCTTAATGTTCACCTGAAATGTTCTGTAATTTCATGGTACAGCATTTAGAATAGGAGAGTATGTACAATTAAAATCCAATTTCTATTTAAAAAACAAATTTAAAATTTTCTTGATTACAAAAGTAACATTAAAACAGTGTAAGTCAAAATACAGTCACATGGAAACGTTCACTCCAAATATATTGCCTTCAGAAATACATATGTAAAAAACATGCATATTAATACTGTATGTATGTGAAGTATCATCTGACATGTTTATATCATATTAACATTCATTGGTAAGCATTCTCATGTCATTCTTCAATGACTATTTTGTCCTATGGACATAAAATCATTTATTCAAAGCATACCCCTTAAAAAGCTAAATCTTGTAGATGTTTTCCAAGTCTGATAAAGTAATGCTGTGTGATGGACATTCTGGTATACAAATTTGTGTAGCTTCATCTCCACATGCTAAATTCCTAGAACTAAGTACAAAGCAAAGCACACATGTATATATTTCCATATTTTTCCAATGAAATTGTGGGTAGAGAGTCAATGAGTAGTTTCATTATATACTATTTTAATGATACAGTCACCCTTTACCACCTTCCACTCCACTACCTCCTCTCTGAACACACACTGCCCCCACACCTACTTACAGATCAATTCATTAAGAGTTTCAGAATTTTGGCCACTGGTTTCTATAATTAGTTTTCCTAAAAGTTCTCTACAAGTGAGAATGAGTATTACTGTAAAATCTCAAATCATCGCAACTCAACCACCAAATTTTCATTTACCCAATCTTTTGGCCTAACAGGTCAAGAAACTGATACCAGGTTTTTATTACAGTTTTGCAATTTCTAGGTTATGTCCAACTACCAAAAAAGCCCCAAATCCTTTATCTTCCATACTTTTACATCCTTATATGTACAACCATATTCACAACCAATGCCCAACTAAAGAAAAAAATTTTCATTATACATAGTATATTTTAAGACAGAGATTAATTCCTATTCCTTACCCATTGTTTCTCAAAAGGCAGTATATATACCACTAAAAATGAATCAGAATGACCTAGTCAGTGATTGTTTCTGAAAAGGGATTTCCTGGGCTTATGGAATCTCCATCTCTAGGGTGGAAACCCAAAGTCCATAATCTGCATTATAACCAGCTCCACAGTTTTATTGAGACCCACTAACTTTTGAGCATCCCTGGCTCTTCTAAGCGTTTGGCAGTTGCTGGTTAATAATGATTTATCTAAATAGCCATAAATGTACACATTTACTAAACTTCAATACATATCAGGGATTTTATGGGCTCTGAGATTAAACCTGTAACATAGCCATGGTCAACATGTCACTACAAAGCCAAAAAATGCAAAAGCCCCCCAATTATCTTATGTGGTGCCTAAGGAATGTCTTCTGCTCTTATGTGGGAGGGCCCCAGCTGGCTGACTTCAGTCTGCCAACACAGCCTCCAAATCTAGTCATATGACATTTCAACACAGAAAAATCCAAAACAGTGCAGAAACCCTTCTTGGTACTCCCTTTACTGTTTATTAGATTTCACATCTAGAAACCAGCAAGAAGAGGCAAGAAGAGGAAAATACTTATTTTTCTAGCAAATAAGTCAAGTTTCTCATATATGTCTGAAGATGAGCCTAAAATAACTAAAAGTTACATGTAACATCAAAAAGAAATTCTGAGGCACTTATTTTATCTGTAATATTACTTGAAATGAAGTAAGCCATCAGCTGAATGCTGTTAAAAGTTTTACGCCTGCAGCAGATTTGGGCCTATTCTGTGTATTCCCACTGTGTCAAAAATCAACTTTTAACATAAGCCAAAAATGTATATAAACAACAGGAGTCTAGAGTATTTGGTTGGAATAAATTTATTTCATCTGTCTGTAAACAAGGTGTTTAATAGTTATGGCATTTTTTTAAATGCATATTAAATCAGATGAGTTAGACTGTATCCCAGATGTAACAAAGTGCAGGGAAAGAAATGGACAAATCAGCAACAAGATTTGTTTTTAAATCTGTACATTATCCACATGGCCCAAACAATAGAAGCAAATACTAGAATGTCCCTAAAGTAGTGCCATTCGAAAGAAACCCTTAATAGGTCAGTTAAAATCCATCTCACAATAGCAACAGTTCATTTTAACAATAGTATGGCACAGAATACATATGAAAAAGAATCATCACAAGACAGCCAAGTCCACAATAATGCAACTTCATATAAAAACTCAAGCTGCAAATAAAAATTGGTCCTATGAAGAACAAACTGGACACACTCCAGATGGTTATGTTGGGATACCTAATGTCCATAATGGCAGCCTTTTACAATTTTACTAAAGAGTAGAGCTGGTGTGCAAAGAAAAAGACAGGAACAAAAGTCTGAGCTATTGCAATGATGGAATGTCCCTGGGGATTCAATCAGTATTGTTACTGTAAAGTCATGGGAGGAAGTGCTTTTTGCTCTTGTTTTGCCATTGCACTCTTCATATGTCCTGTCGACACTATGAATAAAGGTCTACTCAAGTGCAACAACAATACTAAAAGCAACTACTGCAGCTCTCAATAGCTCATCAACAAAAGGGATATTAATTGGTTAAAAAAAAAAAAAAAAAAAACAGGCACTGCATAAAAAAAAGATGGAAGCAAACCAAATGCCTATGGGCAAAGGGCGGGGGGGGGGGGG